TAGACGGTTTTGTTTTGTACATAGGCACATACTTGCGGTCACAGTTCTGTTGTTACCGAAGGCGGTGACTCACCAGCATGTGAGAAATGCAAGAATCTAATGGCTAAACGTATTTATTAAGTGCTTGGGAAAGTCATGATGTATTTTTCTGTGCAAGAGTGAGTCATAACTTTCCCGACAACCTGATGTTTTACTTGTGCACATGTGCATGGTTTTGTTTCAGAAAGGATCTACCCTGTCATGGTCCTCCCGCCCAAGCTTCCCAAGCAGCTGGGACCATAGGCTCACACCTCACACCTGACTCTTTCAGACAGGGTCTCTCTATGTGGCCCATGCCGACACAACCTCAAGGTCTCCTGCCTCAGTCTTCCAAGCAGCTGGGGCCACAGGCACACAGCACCACACCTGGCCCCTTTGGCTGGGCTGGATTTGAACTTGGGCCTTCCAGTGAGCAGTGTCCAGTGGGCGCTACTTTGGCTGCTCTTCCAATGGCTCTATTTAAAGATGTCTGTCGGAGCCGACAATAAGCCAGCAGGATTTGGATATTTCATTTATAACATGCACCTTTTTCTCAGTTTCTCGTAAAATCCAATAAGTTTGATGCCTTAGCTGACCTTTTTGAAACGCATTCAGTTATCAAATATTTATTGCGGGTCTCCCCTGTGTCACAGCCTGGTGCTGACTTACACAATATCACATCTAAACTTCTATCTGTAGTTATGTCTGATGCCTGAGAACGCTCAGCTGTTTATAGTACTGCTTGACGTTCTGTCAGCCAACAGCAAAAATAATCTGCTCACCTCCTCTGTAGGGCGCTTTGGTGTTTAGAAGCATCTTCATGCATCTTATCCTGTTTGCGTTTTGCATGAGATTGTCAGGGAAGGTGTCTAATGCCTAGATGTGGGCTACACAGATGCAGTCCTGTTCAATTTTTTTTTTTTCCTATAGGGCGTGTACACTTGCCAGACAGAGACACAGACAGAAAGGAAGGGAAAGTGAGAGATCGTCCCCCAGGGAGGGTGGCCATGCCATTATCCCTCCTCCTCCAGTCTCCTATTGGGACTTTGGGCACACACACAAATGCCTGGTATGATTTCCAAGCACCAGGGCTTGAACCTCAAAGTCGGCCATGTGGGATCTAGCATCTTAACCTTCATACCACCTGCTGGCCCTAGTTTTAAAAAAATGCTATAGAATGTGTGCGCTTTTTGGAGAGAGAGAAAGAGAAAAAAGGAAAGTAAGAAAGCACCCCCCATGGGGGATGGCCACACCATAATCTCTTCTCTTTTCAGGATTTTGTGCATGCACCCAGCATGTTTTTCAAGCTGCTGGGTCCGGGACTCGAACTGCACAGTCAGCTGTGTGGGGTCCAGCTGCCTTAACCACCACGCCACCAGCCAACTTCCTGTTTGCATTTTTACATCACTCACTTTGTAGGCCTTTGCTTAGCAGAGGCAATCAGTAGCTCCTTCTTTGATTTTGTTAAAGCACACCCCCTGGGGCCAGCAAGTGGCATAGTACTTAAGGCACTGGACTCACACTTGGACAACTGTGGTTCAAGTCCTGGACCTGGCAGCTTGCTTTCTCACTTTCACTTTCTCTCTGGTCAAATTAAAAAAAAAAAAAAGATGATGAATAAAATTAAATTAAAATAATTATTTTTAAAAAAGGCAGACACCCCCGACTTTTAAGATTGTTGCCTAATCATTAGAGGCACTTATTTTCTAACTAGGAAATTCACCGCACAGGATTGTACACAGTGGCAGAGATGATTAAATGAGGGCTGACTATGTCTGTCATTCTTTCACGGAGGGCATGTTGGTTATAGAGCTGAAATGAGGTGTGCTATAAAATGGGACATGGTTCATGTTAGGGTTTTCATCATGAGCTGTGAATAATTGGAGTCAAATTCAATTTTCTCAGCCATCTAAAGAGACTTAACAGGTGGACCCTTGAGAATTATATGGATAGATTAGTAATTTCATCTCAAGATGAAAATATTTATAGTTATAGGTTTCATGAATTAGCACAGATAACATATCAAAGTCTGAGAGAGGGGGCTCCATCCCAGTCAGATGGAGTGGGTTTTGTTTTTTAGGTTTTTGCCAGGGGGTGTGTGCATTAGGAGAGCGACAGAAAGGGGGAATGAGAAATCCGCACCGAGGGCGATGGCCACACCCTTCTCCTTCATTTTCCTTCTGGAATCCTGGGCACACACTCACCATGTGCCTGGCATGATTTTCAAGCTGCCGGGTCCGGGGCTGTAACCGTGCTTGGCCCTGTGGGAATCCAGTGCCCTAACCACTGTGCCACCTGCTGGCCCCTGGAATGGGTTTTTAACGTTCTAGAGCTACCTCCGGGTCAGGCAATGGCACAGTGGTGATGCTACATCGCTTCCTTAAAGAAACCTGTGTAAGGGAGGGAAGAAACGGCAGCCACGCTGCAGCCGCCGCATGCCTTTGGGATTGTCGTTTTATCCCACATGCCAGAGCTTTCTCCACCTCTCGCTGGAGCGCCACAGAACCTGCCACGGAGGTGAGAGGCGGGCTTGTCCTGGAAAGTGGGAGAAGGCGGGACGGCAGAGGGGGCGAGCACAGTCTACCACAGGTGCAGTCTTAGACTTACATAAGTAAGAGCATGCCCAGAGGTTGCGCATCTGGAATTCGATTCCTTTATAGAGGGCTGCCTACTCTTAGGGGAAGTCGCGCCTGTCCCCAGGAATGAAGCAGACGATGATCACTGTGCTAATCCAGCCTCGTGGATGAAGAAATGAATTGACCCTGGGTGGGGTGGGGGTGCGGGGAAGCAGTAAGTTTGGGTTTTTTGTTGGAAAGACAGCATCCCTGAGTGGAGGCCGTGAGTGCTCGCCAGCCTCCGAAGTGGGGGAGGGACCGCTCTTGTAACACCATCTCATTAGTTAGAAAATATGGGCTTGTCAGTCTTCGCCTTTTGTTTCCAAGCAACCTCTTTGTAAACGATATTTACAGGAAGTTTTGTCTCCCTCTGCTGGCCTGAATCGTTACTGCAGACTACTTTCCGTCTAGCCTCAATTCCAGGTTCTTAGTGTTAAAAAGACCTTAGGTACAAACCTGAGCCACTGGTGGGGGTATTTGAGCATAAAGTTAGCTTAGATGTGAAAAAATCTTTTGCTTCTATATATAGACTGTTGCCAGAGATCACTCTTTACACTGTTTGGCTTTTGTCTTTCCACTGACAGGACGATCTGTAGGTGCAGAATGCAGCCTGCCAGGGAAGACTTGGCCTGGTGTGTGGCAGTCCTGCTGGTCAGGACAAGTATTCGTAGCAGTTTATTCCCGTATACTCTGCAAGCTCCAATTAAGGACCCCTTAATCCCAACCCTGGCACTTTTGGCCCGCCTTGACCACTCACATCTGTGTGTATGTGGCCTGTCTCCCGTCTCGCGCCTAGACGCTGAGGCTACAGGCCCAGGGTCCTGTGTGGTTTGATGGTGGTGGTGGTGAGTGGGAGGTGAGTGGGAGGTCTTTTGGAAAACCTCTTTCTTTTTAGCTTTGGACTCCTACTTCTGCTGGCCACGCCTTTCTAAATGTCACCTATCCCTTTGGCTTCTATTCCATGGTGCTTTCCACATTCTTCTGTTTCTTTGAAGTCACCTTCTATTTTTGTCCTCACTGCCCTGTCTTCCTCGTAGCCCGAAACAATTAGACGTTCTCCCACGTTTTATCCATAGGATACGCATTCCCCTTGCAAGCTCTCCACTCCTGTGTCACCTCTGTGTAGATGTCTCTCGACATCACGTCCCGCCCGAGTGCCCCCAAGCTGTTGTCCTGAGTCTGCAGCTTCCCCATGCTACTCTCCTTTAGGGCCTTTTCTGTCAGCTCAGACTAAGCAAGTTTAACTGAAACCTGTGTTGTCATCCCGTCAAGTCATCGCTCCCCATGGCTCACCTCTGTTCCTTCTCTGGGCTTCTGCTGTTCAAGATGCACTGCCTAGGGACCAGCAGTTAGTGTAATGGCTATATCACCGGACTCCCATGTACTCGACCACGGTTCGAGTCCCGGACCCGGTGGCTTAAACTCATGCCAGGTGCGTGTGCATGCGTGCCCAAGATCCCAAGAGGAGAATGGAGGAGAAGGGATTGCGGCGTGGCCATCCCCCCTGGGGGGTGATTTCTCGCTTTCTGTCTCTCTGTCTCTCTCTGTCTGTCTGGCGAGCGCACGCGCCCTATAGCAAAAACCTTTTTAAAAAAAAAATGCACTGCCTAAACTTCCGAAGCATCGCCAGATTCTCTTCCTTTGTCTCTCACATCTGTTTGGCCTCCAGATCCTTCGCCCGATAACTGGAGCTGTTCATTGCTTCCCCTTCCATCGCTAAGGTTGTGGCTTCAGGCCTTTGTCGTTTGGGATGTGTGGTATTGCTGGGCTCCCTTACTGGCCCCTTGTGTCTTCAAGGATTTTAGAATTTTGCCTGTTTAGAAATATTTAATGGTTTTCTGATTTCCCAGAGGGCAAGCTGTAGGAGTCCTCTAAATACAAGCCAGCCTTCTGTCTCCTCCCCGGCATTCTGGCCCTTCCTGTCAGCTCAGGTGGTCTCTTCCCTGACAGGGAAAGTGCTGTGTCATCTGTATTTATTCCCAAGTGCTGTCTGCCCCAAGGCCTGGCTCAAGTTCCCCTTTCCCTATAAAGGGTATCTAGCCCCCACCACGTTCTCTGGAATCGTATGACGTGTGGTATGTTTTCCATGACCTGGGGCCAGTGCAGTCTTGGAGTCTCTTGTATTATGGTCTAGCTGTTTGATCCTTGCACACTTCCTTCATCTTCACAGATACGCCTCAGGCTGGAGCTTTAAGAACCTTGCACCCAGCCAGGGTTTTAGAGGTGCTGGTTGGGCTAGATGGTGGGATTGCCTGCACGGTCTCAGGTCAGAGGGGAGCTCCTCCTGTCAGGCTTCAGGCTTCACAGCCTCGGATTTCAGGTATTCGGTCTCGTGAGTGCGTATTCATGTGTGTGTATGTGTTTCAGCTGCAGATCCCCAGCGTGAAGGGCTTCGATTTTGCAAAGCAGCATCTGGGACAGCATAACAAGGATGACATCTTGATTATTCACGAGCCAGCACCACTGCCGGGACCCATGAAGGACCACACCACGCCCTCTGAAAACGGAGACGTGCCAAGCCCCAAGGCAAAGATCCCATCCAAGAACATCCGTCACAGAGGAAGGTTGCTGTTGGGCCTTTTCACTGTTGCCTGGGGCAGTGGGGTTCTGTTTTCAGGTGTCCGTTTCTGAGAAGGCCGTGGGTGAGTGCTGCCCTGTGCCTGCAGCCTAGGCATCTGACGACTTACCCGAAGTCCCTGTGAACACGGCAGGGTAGAATTTTGTCCACTCTGTCCACTCTGACAGGCGGCCCAGAGATTGCAAGGTCTACCTAGTGTTTAAGATCGTGAATCTGTGAAGAGCTGATGACCCCCTCAGACCCCAGTAGCAGTTGACCAGCTCGAGTGTGCGTATCCTGAAGGGCCCATGCTAGGCCCTCTGGACAGAAATCCAGAAATCACGTATAAGAAGCACAGGGCCCGTGGTGCACCCCCGACCAGTGTCACCTGCTTGTCCCCGGTCTGTTCCTCCCACGGCAGGCTGTGACTCCATTGCTCGGTGTTCAGGCGACCTTCATCCCATCCCCCTGCGTTTGCTCTGTCTTCCTGCAGCTGCTTCTGGTGTGACCTCTTACACGGGGCTCTTCCCCACCTCCTCCCACCTGGGCATCCATTCCCAATTTATTTTCGTTGCCAATTTAGGTCCATTCCTCCTATTTCAGTAAAGGCCACGGAGAGTTGCTTATTAATTTCACAAACTGCCTGCAAGTCCATCACCGCCCTCTGACCCCATGTCAAGGTGACGGCCGTGTTAAAGAAGACAGATTCCAGGGGTGGGTTTTGTTAGGGTGATTTGAGATCCTGGTACTGTCAGGTTTTCGCTACTGAAGCCTCAAATGATCAGCCTTCCTTGGGGCTTTGGGACTCGAAATCCTGATTATCTGCTAAGAGCGACAAGATGTGTGATCATACCAACATTTGAGACATTGTCGTAATTTCTGAGTTAACAGAAAACCTACCCTAGGGGTTCTGGCCTAGTTTTAAGAATTTAATGAATGTTAGAGCATGATCTTACCAAAAAATAATGTAGAGAGGTGCTATTTGTTTAATTATTCTGCATGTTAAGAATAAATTGGATCAGTATAGATGATTAATACACTGGTAAATGTTTGTAAAGCATTTTCTTTTAGCCCCTCGTAGGCACATTAAACACATTTAGTCACGACATTCTGATGGTCTACGTGCTCGAGATCCCCCAGGGGCATCACTGTGTCGGCACATTGCTGTTGAAGCCAGAAAGCTCAAGGAGACACAGAGAGCTTTTCTTGTAGATTTTATTTTTCTTTTTTTAAAAAAGAATCATTTATTTATTTATTTATTATCATTATTATTCTTTAATTTGACCAGAGAGAGAGAGAGCAAGAGACAGAGAGGGGGGGGAAATGAGAAAGTAAGCCACTGGGTCTGGGACTCGAACCACAGTTGGCCCTATGGGAGTCCAGCACCTCAACCATCATGTCACCTGCTGGCCCCACTTGTAGATTTTCTTTAGCCTGGTGCAATCCGAGTGCCCTTCACCCTTGCTTTTCAGGTGTAGAATCAAATCTCAGTAGTGATTATTGTTTAGTGCTGTAGGTGTGGGTGTCTTCTAAACATCTGGAGTTATTTCTGGTGACTCCAGAACTTTCCTGGCCTCTAGTTGACCCTGAGCCAGGCCTGAACCCCAGATCTTCTTTTTCTTTAACTCATGATAGCAGAAAGGGAGGGGTAGGGGAAGAGAGAGGGAGAGAGTACCTCCAAGTGGGCTGGTCATGCAGTAGTACTTTTCTTCCCGTTCTCCATCCCATCGGGATCCCCCGTGTGAGGCCAGCAGAGTTAGGATTTGAGGTCCTCTTTGACCCAATCCGTGCTAGATCCAGACTGTCCATCCAGGGAGAACCTGGGGCCGGGAGCTAGTCCAGGGCCCTCGTAGCTGTAGGGCAGTCCCCAGGCTGCCACTTAGATGTCTAGCACTGGATGAAATACAACCTGCTGAGCCCCTTGGTAGGCTGTGTCCGTCTGTCTTCAGGAGGAGACTGTGTGGTGTAAACTCAGTCCCTGAAGGTGCCTTGCCGTGAAGTAAGTTTTTGGATTATTCCGCCAGTTTTGCCTGGAAGCCTGACCTTTCTCTTTTGGCCTTTCTCATTTCTAATGTCTGCATTTTGTTTTGTGGCTGCAGAGTTTCTCCCTCGGATGCCGACTCGACCGTCAGTGAGGAGTCCAGTGAGAGGGACGCGGGAGAGAAGACGCCAGGCGCGGTCCCCGACGGCAAGTCCCACAGAGCGCCGCAGAGTGGTCTGTCACTCCTCTGTTCTCCACGAGATGCCAGTGGGCTAGGGGTTGACACACTTCAAATGCTACCCCTTCTGTTACGCTCTGTGAAATGGAGTAGTTATCATCTGGATGGTGAATTTCTCACCACCGGTGCTCACCATCTAACCTCGTATTGGTGTCTCCTTGGAGGCAGGGACTTTGCTGGAGGCTAAGGGTTCGCTGAGGTGTGTCTTGAGGTTAACAGCTTCATTTCATTCTGGTTTATACTGAAACCATTTTCCTGCCTGAAGGACTAGCAGGAATAAAACTGAAACCATTGTCTCCAGAACTATCCCTAAGAGTCTCAGGAATCAATTCAAGGACTTCACAGCCGTCATGGTCAGAAAATTGTTCATTTCTCATAGATCCAAGCCCAGTGGGTTTGGTCCTGCTTCTAGCTCTTTCTTCAGTGTCTTTGCTGGGGCTTTATATTTCTGGTTTGCTGTTCAATAAAGCAAAGGTATGCTAATTGGGAATATTATTTTTAATAGTAATTTTTATACTTAGATGTTTTAAAAATCTAAGTATAACTTTCTCTGTAGGAAAATGCAGTGCAGAGTAAACTGTATTCTAAAGAACAGATTCCAGACAGAAGCCCAAGGGTCTCTTCTGTCACTGTCATGCTTATGGGCTTTAGGTCCGTTAGTGGTTGAGGCTCTGGGACCATACTACCTGGTCCTTGAAATTCCTTTCAGCTCCTTTAGAACAAACAAAGGACTTTTTTCTTCGGTTCCAGTTTCACAGTGTTAAACATTATTTGGCACCATGGTAACAGGTGCACTGTTTCAGATAGACAGGATTAAAATCTAGTTTTGATCCTGAAAAGCAAATACTTGAAAAAATAAAAGAGTTCTGGATTTTCTCTATTTTTGTTAGTTACTTATCTGAGAAAATCTTGCATTTAGTGTCTGCATTTCACTCTTTCTTTTTTTTTTTTTTTTTTTTTTTTTTTTGCTATAGGGCATGTGTGCTTGCCAGAAAGACAGAGAGAGATAGAGAGATAGAAAGCGAGAAATCACCCCCCAGGGAGGATGGCCGCACCGCAATCCCTTCTCCATTCTCCTCTCGGGATCTTGGGCACGCAGGCACACACACCCAGCATGAGTTTAAGCGACTGGGTCTGGGATTTGAACCACGGTCAACTACATGGGAGTCCAGCAACATTTCACTCTTTCTGGTAGTATCACAGACACTGTGATCTTCAAGGATGACACAAATCAAATACCACCCAACATATCTAGAACCCAAGGAGTAAGCATTTCAGCCCTGGACAAGTGTCTGGGGAGGGGAGAAGGGAGTCTGATGTTTCCGTGAGTACTGCAAGCTCAGAGGCTGCTATTACAATGTGAAGAAATTCCAGAATCTGTATTTTATTTACATCGTATTATAGAAAGGCAGTTTTCTCAGTGTCTGGGAAGGGGAGAAGGGAGTCATGTTTCCGTGGGTACTGCAAGCTCAGAGGCTGCTATTACAATGTGAAGAAATTCCAGAATCTGTATTTTATTTACATCGTATTATAGAAAGGCAGTTTTCTCACTGCTAAGTTCAATTCACTTTTAAAACTTTGTTTAAAGTGAGTGATAAGATAGCCTCAGTTCTTCCATATAGGTATGTTTGTATTTGCGTAAAACATTGTTTAATATTCTTTAAAAAGATGATGAGTTTTTACCATAGCTTTTGAAATATTTTATAATTCACAAAGAAAATCTTTTGGTTGTTGCGAATCATAAATAAAAATAAATGGAGGCGGGAGGTTGCTTCAGAACATTCTGGAACCCCCATCCATGTTGCCCTGTGACCCTGTTCTCTTTCACCACTGAGGGTGCACAGCCACTGGCTGCCTTTATGCTCCTTGACAATGCTTTTGATGACTGTCCCAAGTCATCTGGCATTTAAAGGCCCCATCTTACAAGGGAAGCTGAGCTAAAAACCACTTACCACTTTAGTTTTGGTAAATTCAGGGCTTTATTCCCTCCCTATCTGACTACCTGACTGTTTGGGAAGCCTCCTAGCTCATGATGCACACCCAGATTGCTCTGTGTCGCTGTGTTCACGGTTATTGCAGTTTTAAATAAGTCACGTCGTCACCACTGGTCACTCTTAATGAGGATGAACTAGGAGGGTGCACACTGCCTGGGTGAAGGCAGGCTGTTGGGGTGTGACTGGGCAGCCATTCCACTGTCTGTGCGTAACTGGAGTTTTTCTCTCTCTCCTTTCTAACATAGGAATATACCAAGTAGGTAAGGACTGCAAATGCCATGTATTTTCTTTATGCTCTTCATAGGTTGCATGTGTGCAAGTGTGTGATTTTCTTTTTTTTTTTTTTTTGGAGAAGTTTTGTC